CATTCAGCCAGGTTGAATTGAAAATTTCATATAGAAATTCTCATTCAGCCAGGCTGAATAGAAAATTTCCTATGGAAATCCACATTCAGCCAGGCCGAATTGAAAATTTCCTAAAGAAATCCCCATTCAGCCAGGCTGAATTGAAAATTTCCTATAGAAATTCCCATTCAGCCAGGCTGAATTGAAAATTTCCTATAGAAATTCCCATTCAGCCAGGCTGAATTGAAAATTTCCCATAGAAATCCCCATTCAGCCAGGCTGAATTGAAAATTTCCTATAGAAATCGCCATTCAGCCAGGCTGAATTGAAAATTTCCTATAGAAATTCTCATTCAGCCAGGCTCAATTGAAAATTTCCTATAGAAATCCCCATTCAGCCAGGCTGAATTGAAAATTTCCTATAGAAATTCACATTCAGCCGCGCTGAATTGAAAATTTCCTCTAGAAATTCACATTCAGCCGGTCTGAATTGAAAATTTCCTCTAGAAATCCCCATTCAGCCAGGCTGAATTGAAAATTTCCTATAGAAATCCCCATTCAGCCAGGCTGAATTGAAAATTTCCTATAGAAATTCCCATTCAGCCAGGCTGAATTGAAAATTTCCTAAGGAAATCCACATTCAGCCAGGCTGAATTGAAAATTTCCTAAGGAAATCCACATTCAGCCAGGCTGAATTGAAAATTTCCTAAGGAAATCCACATTCAGCTAGGCTGAATTGAAAATTTCCTATAGAAATTCGCATTCAGCCAGGCTGAATTGAAAATTTCCTATGGAAATCCACATTCAGCCAGGCTGAATAGAAAATTTCCTATGGATATCCACAATCAGCCAGGCTGAATTGAAAATTTCCTATGGAAAACCACATGCAGCCAGGCTGAATTTGGTATTTTCTCAGTGTACTTTTAAATTAAATCATATTTTGGTGCAGAGTAAAAGTTTGGAGCAATCACCGACGCCATCATCATCGTTCGCAGCAGAACCATCACCATAAACACAGTTTACATGAAATATTTTTTTATGTTTCCTCTGTTTTGCTTTTATCCCTCATAATCGTTCTAATAAAATTATGTTATGTTTTTATTCGGATATCAGATGTAATTGTTGTTGTTGCTATTTTTATGGTTTATGAATCACTGCAAATTTGTAATTGTTTTTGTTCTTCTTTGTCCATTGAAGTTATGGCATAAAAACAAACACATGAATGGCGCTGTGCATAACATAATATGTGTAATGCATGCAATATACAGTCATCATAATGAATGCACTTTTCACTAAAACTTAGCTGAATTAAATTTATAATACCAAAATTTCATTTCAGCTTAGCTGAATTGTAGTAACTTAATAACATGTTCCATTGAGCCCGAATAATATTTATCAGGATAATTAAAACTTCACTAATAATTCACAATTTAAATAAAATTCTTAGCATACCTTCAGGCGTTTGTCTAAACCATCTTTTAACAGCTATCCACAATTAACATTTATTGTTAAATATCTAACAGAGATTGTTAACTGTGAACTGATGATAGAGAAAAGAGCCTGAAACTATGCTGCTTATTTTTCATTACAATTAAATTCTATTTTCAGTTTAGTTGAATTCGTATTTCTTTACAAAGTATTAATTAGCCTGACTAAATGAAAATTTCCTTGTGAATGACTCAATTCAGCCTGGCTGAATAAGAATTTCTATAGGAAATTTTCAATTCAGCCTAGCTGAATGAGAAGTTCTATAGGATATTTTCAATTCAGCCTAGCTGAAAGAGAATTTCTATAGGAAATTTTCAATTCAGTCTGGCTGAGTGAGGATTTCCATAGGAAATTTGCAATTCAGCCTGGCTGAATGTAGATTTCTATAAGAAATTTTCAATTCAGCCTGGCTGAATGTGCATTTCTATAGGAAATTTTCAATTCAGCATGGTTGAATGTGAATTTCTATAGGAAATTTTCAATTCAGTCTAGTTGAATGAGAATTTCTATATGAAAATTTTCAATTCAGCCTAGCTGAACGAGAATTTCTATATGAAAATTTTCAATTCAGCCTAGCTGAATGAGAATTTCTATAGGAAATTTTCAATTCAGCCTAGCTGAAAGAGAATTTCTATAGGAAATTTTCAATTCAGCCACGCTGAATGAGAATTTCTATAGGAAATTTTCAATTCAGCCTGGCTGAATGTTGATTTTCATGGGTATTTTTCAATTTACCGTGTCTTAAATACGATTTAGTTTAGAAAAATTTCCATTCAGCCTAGCTGAATTACAATTTCAATTTTTATATTTGAGTTTTGATCCCAAATATCCTTGTTTTTCATTTGCAAAGTCCATTGAACTTTGTTGTCCTGTAATTTGACTACCCATTGAGCTATTAAATATTGTAAAACTCTGTACTTGTGTGTGTGTGTTGCTATCCTTTGAACTAATATTTTGTTTTGAATTGTTGATGAAATGTCAGGACTGTGAGCAACAATAAAACCTCATTATCTCTCTCCACTGTGAAAGGCAAAAAAAAAACGAAAAATGAACTCCATGGGAAATATAATTTCATAATTTCTTTGTAAACAATAATGGGGTAATATTGAAATATAATAGGTTGGAACGCGAAATAAATTGTAATTAATTAAAAAAATAAATTTTCCTATTAAGGAGAAAATTGGCACCCAATGGATAGCTTACAATCTGAAGGCATGTTATATTCTATGGCTTTGATGAATGTCTTTGAAAAATATTTGGAATCTTCAATCTAATTTGTATTCTTTTAATTAATTCTTGACCATTCATGTCTCATGGCAATTTAAATATTTTTTCCTACCTAAAAATTTCCACTCTATTATGCTCTACATTATGTCCTGAAATCATTTTTCCAAATAAGCATAAATGTTCATGTTGATTTCCATGTCCTTTCCATATCCCCATAGAATTCAAAGGAATCATAGTCGTTTCGCCACCTTCCACATGGAATGGTGGCTTATCTTTCCTTTATTTCTCCGGACATAAATAACAAAATTGCATGCAATGTTGCATGAAAATGACACTTGATTACTATGGCTGTGTGTGTGAGAGAGGAGTGGGGAACATGAGAGGGGTTGGGGGAATTTGTTGGGTGTTACATTAAAGTTTGTTTTTGGCTGGCCAAAAATTGAACTTACATCATTGATTTCTTTTCCGGGTGTGTCGATATGTTATCCCCCGTCCTCAATCATGTTTCCTGCATAAGATAGGGGAAGGGGTAGATTTCTCCACTTGATATATTTTGAATATTTAGTTATTTTTCTGATGTATTTTTAATGAGTTATTACGGAAAAGGACACTGACATTGGCACCAATTAAGTAATTCTTGGTTATTATGGTGATATACAACATTGTATGTCCATATTTCTGTAATTCAGCCAGGCTGAATTGAAAATTTCCTATAGAAATTCTCATTCGGCCAGGCTGAATTGAAAATTTCCTATGGAAATCCTCATTCAGCCAGGCTGAATTGAAAATTTCTATTAGAAATCCTCATTCAGCCAGGCTGAATTGAAAATTTCCTATAGAAATTCCCATTCAGTCAGGCTGAATTGAAAATTTCCTATAGAAATTCCCATTCAGCCAGGCTGAATTGAAAATTTCCTATAGAAATTCGCATTCAGCCAGGCTGAATTGAAAATTTCCTATAGAAATTCTCATTCAGCCAGGCTGAATTGAAAATTTCCTATAGAAATTCTCATTCAGCCAGGCTGAATTGAAAATTTCCTATAGAAATTCTCATTCAGCCAGGCTGAATTGAAAATTTCCTATAGAAATCCCCTATTCAGCCAGGCTGAATTGAATAATTCCTAAAGGAAACCATATTCAGCCAGGCTGAATTGAAAATTTCCTATAGAAATTCCCATTCAGCCAGGCTGAATTGAAAATTTCCTATAGAAATTCCCATTCAGCCAGGCTGAATTGAAAATTTCCTATAGAAATTCCCATTCAGCCAGGCTGAATTGAAAATTTCCTTATAGAAATTCTCATTCAGCCAGGCTGAATTGAAAATTTCCTATATAGAAATTCTCATTCAGCCAGGCTGAATTGAAAATTTCCTATATAGAAATTCTCATTCAGCCAGGCTGAATTGAAAATTTCCTATATAGAAATTCTCATTCAGCCAGGCTGAATTGAAAATTTCCTATGGAAATCCTCATTCAGCTAGGCTGAATTGAAAATTTCCTATAGAAATCCTCATTCAGCTAGGCTGAATTGAAAATTTCCTATAGAAATTCTCATTCAGCTAGGCTGAATTGAAAATTTCCTATAGAAATTCTCATTCAGCCAGGCTGAATTGAAAATTTCATATGAAATTCGAAATCATTTCTCCATCAGAAATCTCAATTCAGCTGGCCGTCATTAAAGTTTTGTTGTCTGAAAATTATAAATTCCTTTGTGCACCTCCATAAATATAGTTAATCGTGTGAAGGTAATTCATTTAGAGATTCATTTACCTATGGAGGTTGAGGTGTTGGTTACAATGTCAGAACTATTTTTGATTAGATATCAGGAAATAGTTTTGAATTGTTTTTGGGAAAGAAGATAAGAATTAATCTTTCCGAACTCATACACACATTTTTTTTAATTTTCTCATCACCTTCTTTGTTGACTGATAAAGAAACCCACTTTCATTTATTTATTTTTTCTCTCTGCCTCCCTTTTACAGATTTTCCTGCAACAACATTCCATTTACAACAACAACCATAAGCGCCGGCTATAATAATATTCCGGAGGGTAATGATGACCAACACCCTCAAGAAATGCCAAAGAAGAGGGCCTTGAATAATTTCTCAAGAAAATTCAGTTGAGATTTTCCATGGAAAATTTTCGTTATAAAGAAAATCTTAAGAACCTCATCCAAATGCCGATCATCTTTTTAGCAAAAAAATAAATTCCAAATTTAGAAAATAATTTCAAAACCATTTTTAAACACATTTTTTGTGTGTGTAATTTTTTTCCACGAAGTTGGCAACAACAACAAAATTTTGTAATATGTCATTGCCTCCGACGCCTAGCTTTACATGTCAGCCCCGACGTCATCGTAGTCGCTGTAAACTATTCGCTGGTGTAACGTCTATGCCAATAGCTTTAACATGTAGCCTACTATTACTAATAATAACTGGCGTATTTATGCGGAACGCCCAAGCGGGTGTTATCAAAAAAAGAGAAATTCCCTCAATACGCAATGTGGACGACATGTCAGCGACAACTACGCCAACAACAACAACAAATGTCTTGGCGTCATCGATAAGGGCTCTCTCAAATGACCCTGACATTGAGGTAAGGGAATTGAACCAACCACCACAGTCAATGGCTGCGACAGAGCTACCACGAACCAAATTAGTTATGCAGGGTATGGGGAGCCTTGATGGCTCCCATGAGGAATCAATGCACAATGATTTATCACTGGACCCAAGCGTTGCTAAAAAGGCCAATCCGGAAATAATTGAACAAGAAAATGCCAACGGAACCCCACGTTGGGCGCCATTATCAACCGAGAATCCCATTCTCAAATTAGCCAATAATTTAAGTGGTAATTTTCAACAAAATCTAGAGAGCTTTAGCTCTAAGGTTAGTCAAGTCCTAAATGATATTCATTCCAAGGAGGTAACACAAGAGAAATCGCAAGAGATCGCTTCAGGATCCTCAGAATCTACTGGAAGCTCGAATTCGGATGCTGGAAATATTATGGTCTTAACAGCTCCATCAAAGGAGAAAACCAGTGATATTTTACCTACTGAGGAGAAGAAAGAACATCGGGAACCCAATCAGGTTGGGGAAAATGTAAACATGGAAGCCGGAACTGGAAATCCCACAAATTTTTCAACTTCTTCGCAAGATGTAGAAGTTATGAATAATGGAGCAGATGGCCGCCCCGTATTAAGTGTTAGCTCTACGCATGAAAATCTGGCCAAACCTCAAGAAGATCACCAAAAAGGTTCCCAAGAAGTTGCCGAAAATTCCGCGGATTCTTCACGAAAGGTATTCACAACTGAAATTGAAAAGGAAACTCTTTTAAATCCCCTTAAAGGCAATGAAAATTCCCACGAATCTCAGAATGCCTTGCAGAACTCCCAAGAGAGTGAAAACGGAGTTCGTTCTACAGAAAATCCCCAAAAATCCCAGACCCCGAAAATAAACAATGGAGATCCCTCAAAAGGCAATGCGATTTCCCAGGAAGGCCAGAGCACTGCATTTCACGAATCCCAAAGTAGAGGACATTCCCTGAATGGCAATAAAAATTCCCATGAATCCCACAATGACATTTCACAAGAATCCCAGAGTGCGGGGAAAATAAATATCCAAGAAAATCCGCAAATTAAAACTGGAAATTTTCAAGAGGAAGCCCAAAATGAAAGTCTACAAGGTTCTCAGGGTGCTGCCAACTTAAATAAACAAAATTTCCAAGAATCCCAGAGCCCTACAATGACAGAAAAGGAAAACCCACAAGATTCCCAAAAATCCCAGAATATCGAGGAAGATTCTCATGAATCCGGAAGTCATAATGAAAATAATCTAAAACCCCTAGAAGCTTCAATGGCCGAAAATACCTTAGCAAAAATTGAAAATACCCAAGAATTCCAAAAAAGCAACGATAATACCCAACAAAACCAACTCCAAAGTATTGCCGAAAATTCCCAAGAATCTCAAAGCTCTTCCCCAACTGGAAATGTTCAGGAATCCCAACGGCAACAACTACCCACCATTCAGGGCAACTCCCACGTATCCCAAAATACCATAAAATCCCCAAGTGGTAGCGAAAATCTCCAAGAATCCCAGAACACCGAAGAAATACAAAAAGAAAATACCCAAAAATCCACTAATGACCAGGAAAATTCGCAGGAATCCCAAAATACTTTAAATTCTGAAAATCCGCAAGAATCCCAGATTTCTTTAAAATCCCCCAAGGCTTTGGACAATTCCCAAGAAGTCCAAAGCACCAGCGAAATCGTGAAAGATGATTCCCAAAGCATCAATAATGTCCAGGAAAGCAACCCAGAATCTCAGTCCATTATTAAATCCCTCAATTTGAACGATAATCCACAAGAATCAAAGAAATCCCCAAATGCCGCAGAAAATTCTCAAGAATCCCAAAATACCTTCAAATCGGCAAATGATTCAGAAAGTCCTCAAGAAACTTTCCAAAAATCTCAGATTTTCTTAACATCCCCAAATGCCTCAGAAAATCCCCAGGAATCTGAAAACCCCCGTGAAATGGATTTGAAACTGGCTTCCAATGAAGCCATAAATGATCTGAGCTCATCGAAGGAAAACGGCGCAAACATGGAAAAATCCGCACAGGAAAAGTCTTTGCAAGAAATTGCTGAAAACAACGGGAAATCTGGGGACATTCAGGATTCAACTAAAATGGAGGTTGCTATAAAATCATCTAGAAAACTTGAGGAGGATGTAAATTCCAGCAATAATGGTTTAAATGAGATTTCTTCCAAGGAGTCTTTGGCGAAACCTGAGAGAGTCACGGAAAAGGAAATGCAGACAAATGGGGAAAAATTATCCGAAAATTCTCCCAAGAATGTAGAGTTACAAAATATGGACTCAAAACCTTCTTCCAATGAAAATAATGTACAAATTCAGCAAAATATTGATGATTTAAAGCAAACCGCTGATTTCAATACGCAGTCAGCTGATTCCACTAAGCAATCAGCTGATTTAGCCAGGACCCCAACCACCGCCACCAACCTTAAAGATAATAGCCTGGAAACAAATCACATAAATGAAAAACCAACTGTGTTCTCTAAGCCTATAGGAGATTTGGGAAATAAATTTGTGAACTCCTCTGGCATTCAAGATGCCTTGGATGGTGATTCCTGGAAGGAGGTTACCAATGATTTACCCGATAAGACCACAGAAAAAATACCCGAGGAGGAGGTTGTGGGGACTCAAAAGCCTTTGGATAAAGTGGAATATGGTCGTGCCATGTTCCAGGGCAAGGAAGGTGAAGGTGAGGAGGCCACCACATTACCCGGCCACATTGCCAATAATATTGATTTTGGTGAAGTTCTGCAACAGAATTCCACCTCGAACTCTCTGCGCCCCAAGCAACCGAAATTTATTAATGATAATTCCTCGAATGCCCAACAAATGAATTTACCAAATAATCCGGAGGTTTGGTCGCTGGCTGGTATGAAAAATCCTAACGCTAACAATGTGGGGGATGGGGATAAAAAACCAAATCGGGAGCAGGTTACCACCATGAAATCTGAGAGAATGGAAATGCGGGATAATTTGGATTCCCAATTAAATGGCCTCAGTGAAAAGTCCCTGTTAGATTGGTCTCACATTATGACCGATAAGGAATTAATACAGGCCACCACTGAGGAGTATGGTGAAGAAGTGGCCGCCACAAATTCGGATCTTCTGCTTGGTAATACCCAAACAAACGCAATCAGTGCAAATTCAACAATCTTATCAATGGGCAATGATGATGATAAGGCCGCCACAAAAAGAGAGGAGGAAAAGATAAAAGAAACTGGCGAAGAAGAAGGCATAACAGAGCAGAGAGAAAATAATTTGGAAGCAGTTGGGGGAGTAACAGAGAAATCAGTTACCGAGACATTTGTTGCAAGCCACAAAAGTGAGGATGGCATGACACATGGAGAACAACCCTCGGCAGCACCTGCTGACACAACAAACTTGACTTCAATTGAAAATCCCCAAACAAAAACAACTACACGAACAGCTGTTGCGACTGATGAGACTATTTTAACATTAGAGAGACCCGACCGTGAGCAGAGCTTTATCAATAACATAACGGAGAGCGGCCAAACGTCGGCAGTAACTACGGAAACAGCTGTTGGCATAACGGAGAGCCCGACGCAGCAAAAAACAACTGTAGAACCGAATGTTAACAGTTTTGTTGAAACCAGTGCGGAGAACACAACAACGAAGACGACGGCAACGGGAACTTCGGATGTTTTTGAATTAAATACGGAAAAATCAAATTACGACGAAGTGAAAGAAAATCGTGCGGATTTTACGGAGGTTGAGGTTACAACATATAAACCGAAATTTGTAATTGCAACAACAACAACAAGTACGTCGATTGTCACCCTGCCTTCTCAGGCGATTGAGGGCAGTAATGAAACCGTTGAAACTACAACAACAAATAAAATTCCTCCTCTAGCGGAAGTTATTGACCAAAATGGCAACAACTTGGAATCGATAGATATTGAAACTACAACAACACCACCGAGCAGTACACAAACAACTACATTAGCAGCCGCTACTCAAGAGCCAACCGTCGAAGAGAAGCCGCAGGAGGAGGGGCAGTTCTCCTCAAGTACAATTAAAACGCATTTGAATGAACAGCTAGCAAATAATTCTACAACAACAACAAATAATTTTACAACAACAGCCACAGATATTCCATTTGAGTTAACGACTATAGCAGCTAAAGAAAATACAACTACGTCATCCTCTGGAGCGGAGGAGGGGGTGAAAGAGGAGATAATCGGAACGCTTGGCGAAACAACAACCCCTAAAACTCAACAAGCAGCCAAAGAAGAGGAAGAAGAAGATACTCAAGAGGGGAAACAACAAACAACCTCAGAACAAGGGGACATTATAATTGGGTTAGCAACAACAACAACAACGACAGCAAAACCTGAAACAAAGGCCACAGAGGCCACCGAAGAAGAAGAACTTGAACAGGCAACAGAAATAACAACTACAACAGCAACCCCTGCCTCGGAAACACCTGTTGCCAACACAAGTGAAATATTTAATGGCAACTTAGGTTCAGTTACCACCACCACCACGACCTCTAGACCTGAACTAAATAGCGACACAAATAAAGACACCACAAAGGCAGAAGCTGAGGGTGAGGGTGCGGATGACGAAAAAGTCGCCGAGGTGACCACCACTGAAAAGGGTGTAGAAACCTATTTCAAGTTCCCCATAAGAGGGGGAAGTCAAACAGCAACACCTACAATCACAACAACACCAACAATAAACAAAGAAGAACGAGAACCAGAAATCGAGGGATCCGGTGACGAGGAAGGTTATGAGCAAGAAGGCATAAAAGTTACAGACATGAGTTTACCGGAGACCAGTACAAGCGAAAGAACTACGGCAGTGACGGAAGAGACATTTATAAGTTTATTGGATGATTCAACAACAACAACCAGTACCTCCACCACCACAACAACCGAATTACCTCCCATAATAATAACAACAACAACTACGGAGAGGGTAAAAGAAACCACCATCAAGGGTCTAGAAGATATATATAAAATAATTAACAACAGTACAACAACAACAGAAGCTACCACAACAACAACAAGTGAAAATATTCCACAAACGACCTTTAGTACTTATATAGAAAATACCACATCCATTCCGACCACCAGCAGCACCACCATGATACCCCTCAACACAACCACCCCCATAACCATACACACAGCCGATATCGGAGGCGGTGCTACAGGTAAATCTCTACCCCCCTTGGATACCATTATGATCGGTGGAGGTGGCGGCGACAATAATATGTTCACGAAAAATACCGACCCAACTGGTGCTGGAGAGACAGATGTCAATGTCATTATAGCCATTACTGTCTCCGTGATTGGTGTCATTGCCCTAATCCTCCTGGTAGCCTTCCTCTATTTAATGCGTAAACGACAGAAACAAACTTCCTATAGTCAGAGATGCCGTCCTGTCAGTCTCGATGAATATGCCATTGATAATGGTTCGATAGGTGGCGGTAGTATACGTAAAGGTAGTGCATTCCGCTCCTCGAAACGTACATATGGTAATTTGGCATTCGATGATCCATCGATACGTCATAATGCTCTGGGTGTTCATGATTTGGCAAAATTCGCAACGGAAAAGTTGAGGATTTTCGAAGAGTTTCGTGATGTACCACAGATAACGGCAAGGGATGATGAAGTACCGCCAGGCTGTGAAGATAAAAATAGGTGAGTTATTACGATTCCCTTTTTTCAAATTAGTCATTATATTATCTTAAGTAGAAGGTGAGACAGAAGGACTAACAATTCCGCAGATATTATATATATAAATGAGGGAAATTAAAACTATGAATATTTCAGAAAATGTCTAAGAAAATCCCAAGATTCTCAAAATATAAGAATAGAAAAAACAGAAGATTGCTTTAAAATCTCTAAATTCAAAAATTCGAAATTCTTGCAAATCCCCACAATAATATTGACAAATCCCAAGAATCCCTGAAATTCACAAAAAAAAAAAAAACACCCAATGACATAAATTACTTAAAATCCGCAAACAATTCCCCATGTTCTCAAGATAATTCCCAAAAATGGCAGATTGCATTAAAATCTCTAAATACCTAAATTTTAATAGGAGCCCCTTTCAAATTCCCACAATAATATTGACAAATCCCAAGAATTCTATAAATTCCCCGAAAATACCCAAGATTTCTAAAATGGCTTAAAATCCGCAAATAATTCTAAAATTCTTATAGGAACCCCTGTCTACTTTCAAATTCTCACAATTATATTCACAAATCCCAGAAATTCCCAAATGTGTCCGAAAATTCCTACTTAGCTGGCTCGAGACAAAGCATTTACTCCAGCCGAACTTAAAAAAGGCCCTTCTTTCATTTTGAAAGGCCACGCTTTGATATATCACCCTTCATTTGATCTTTCCATCGAATTCGTGGTCTTCTCCTTTTCAGGCAATCATCAGTAGACTTGCTTTTATATGCCTATTAAATTGGGGCATCCTCATCCATTGTCACAACAATGCTTAGCCACCATAGTCGCTGCGGCTCGATACGTCTGGTGGTTTAATCGACGCCGATGTTTACCGTCGACGCACATCGGCTCTTTGATCTTACGGAGGATTTTTCTCTCAAACACTCTAATTCCCAAAATGACTTAAAATCCGCAAATAATTCTGCAGGTTCTCATTCAAGGACTTTTTAATATCTCTAAATCTCGAAAATGGCAAACAATGTCCAGGAATCATGTCTACTTTCAAATCCCAATTATATAAATCATAATTCCCGAAAAATACAACAAATTCTGATATGTCCCCAAAAATGCCAAAATGTAACAATAACCGCATATAATTCTACGTAGTCCAAAAGAAATTCCCAATAAATTTCAGATCACTTAAAAACCCCAAAGTCCAAAATTTCTAATAATATCTATTTCAAAATCCCCGTACTGTCAAATGCCGTCAATACTATTGCTAGTTTCCAAGAACTCCAGATGTCCCTGAAAAAAACACAAGAACACCATATTGATTCTGAATCTCTAAATATCCCATAGGAAAACCCCTATGTATCCCAGAATACTTTGAAAGTCACAATTATTTTTGAAGATCTCAAGCAATTGATTCCGAAAAATCAAATTTTATACAATCAATTTTATTCTATATCGCTTTTAATATTCATTTCCAATAAATCCTGAAAAAATTCCAAGAATTGCAAAATTATGTACGATTTGCAAAATATTTCGAATGTTTTCAAGAAAATTCCTCAAAAAATCCCAATTGTTTTAAAATCCCTAAATAAACATCCATGAAACGTCCCAAGAATCCCAAAGTACCTTAAAAGCCACCTTGATTTTGAAAATCTCCAACAAAATTCCTCTAAGTCATCTGGAAAACTTAAAGAGTGGGCAGTTATGAATCCTTGAAATCCTGATCAAATTAAATTTCTTCTAAGGAAGTTGTGGCCGAATCTGTGAGAGTCAGGGAAAATCAGTCAAATGGGGGAAAAATATCCGAAGTTGTCAAATAGAAAACTCGAAAAGGAAACAAATATGAATCGCTGAAATCTTGACCTAAATTCAATTTCTCCCAATGAAGTTGTGGCCAAATCTGAGAGAAAATAAATTTGGTGAACGCCTCCACAGTTATACTGGATATCATGGATGGTGATTTATGTTTAAATTTTGCAAATCACTAAATGTGTCAGCAAACAGCTGATTCCACAAAGCAATCAGCTGATCTAGCGAAGACAGCAACCAATCTCCTTAAAATTAATAGCCTGTAAACAATTCATATTAATAGAAAACAATTCGGGTTCTTTAATTCCTTAACGGATTTTGGAAGTACATTTTGTAAACTCCACAGTCATAAGGATGACATAGACTGCATCCAGAATTATTAAGACTGCAAATAATGTCCGGAAAACCCCGATTATAACGTCTATCTACTGTAAGTAAAACCCATCGGAATTCTTTCTACTCCAACAATATTATTATTAATTCCCTAGAATCCTAGAAATTCCCAAAAATCAATGACTTAAAATCCGCAAATTCTGAATAGTCTCAAAGAAAATTCCCATCCTTTTAGGATTTGCAGAATACCCTGAAAGCCACAATTGGTTCCGAAAACATTCCAAAGAATTTGTCTATATAATAGACAATGGTTTCAAAATACCGAAAGGTCTCGAAAAATCGCAAAAAAATCTAGAATCACCAGCAATCTCTGATAGATCCCATAATAATCAAAATTTCCAGTGACCGTATAATAGATAAGATATTCTAGGGATCTTGTAAGTCTTCTGAAAGAACTCTAGACTCTTTACAAATGTCTGTTAAAAATAGATTTAAAATCCCGAAAAACCTCCCGCAGAATAAAAAAAAACCGTTGACAATATAACAGATAAAGGGTAGAAGGCCATATCCATCCAGAGGTATCTTGCCTGTAGAATGGATCCCCGAAAGACTTTAACGTCATCTATAAAAGTTATCTATGAAGGTCGTCTATTTACGAAAAAACTATAGAAATGGCTATCCAAGAGGTATTCTGCAGATTTAATACCATTTCAGAGGACTTCGGTGGATCGAACGCCCTTTAAAAGTTCTTCTGTGTATAGGAAGCCATTTAAGAGACATTCTATAGATATCTGTATGGGACCTCAATAGATAAAACACTTTGAAGAGGTATTTGATAATTACATGTTTTCTATAAATAAATTCTACAGACAATTCAAGAAGTCCTCTAAATGGGAAATAAAAGAACCTCCTACAGATCTTCTATAAATAAGGGACCCATCCAGATATCATTCATATTCAGAGGACTCCACAAGAAGTATTTTATAAACAAACGACTGTTCAAAAGATATTATTCAGTAGAGTAACCCACGAGAGGTCCTCGATATGTCGAATTCCCGCCGAAAAAAATTCTGTAAATATATGATTATGCGAGTGATCTTCTATGGATATAAAATCGGCACGTCTTTTATAAATTGTGGACTTTGAAGATGTCTTCTGTAAGGTGTTGAACCTTTGAGAGGCCTTCAAGAGAATGAAGGACTTATATAGATAGATAACTTTATAAATTAAATACTCTTCGATAGATTGAAAGTCCATTTAGGGCTTTCTAGACCCCTATATATGTATATTTCATAAAAAATATAATTCTTCCAAAGTCTTAGCAGACAATACAAGAGGACTTCTTTTTACAGAAGGTACTTCAAAAGACCACTTGAAGGGTCTTCCATTTATAGATGATCTTATACTAAGAGATGGTCTTTAAAGTGTTATTTTGGAAAAAGGAGCACTTTAATAAATTGAAAACACCTGGATATGTCTTACATAGATAGAAGACCCTTCAAAATTCTACAATGGGGCTTTAATTTCGGAAATAGCCTATGAATGTTTCAATCTATGGGCCTCTCTAACACCTTCTTGAAGTTTTTTATTTGTTGAGGGTATACCTATAACTGTAGGTTACACTTCTATGTGTCTTCTAACTAAAAATGTCTCTTCCAAAGTTTTTTTTCTATGAGAGGCCCTAGTCAACTACCAATAGAAACTCTTTTTCGTATGTTTTTCTGGGTTTCTAGATATGTTATCCCTCTAAATGTATTTTTATCTCTAAATGTTTTTTTATTTATCAATCCCAGGATTTTCTATTTTTCTAAGACCTCTCTGATAGATTTTTATCATTTAAATATCTCTCTGAAGATCATCCATTTTCCGAACTCTTCAAGATACTGTAGATCTAACAATTATCTAACAAATATCATTCTAATGATGTTTCACCATATGACCCCTGTGGAGCACCTTTCCGAAGTCTTATATCTATTGAAGGTACATCCATAAATGTTGGTCCTCATTACCTCCATGGAGTCACTCTTTTATAAATATCTTCCACTGGTTTTCTACATATAATGCATAAATATAAGACCCAACTTTTTCTATATAGAAATTCCTTACAGAGGTTATTAATTTATGGACATGTACTTCTAGACCCTTTGTTCAATAGTGCTTTTGAAACCCCACATTACTATCTTCTATGTTTCGAAGACGCTCTGCTTGAATTTTTAAAATACTCCTCTAGATGTTCTCTATCATTCAAAGGTCCTTTTGGAGTTATTCTAGCTTTCAATGATGCCTCTGGGAACCTTCGTTATTTAAAAGATCCCTCTGGGGGTGTTATAATTTTCGAAAACCTATAATATATAGAACCATAATACACACTTCGAAATATTCACGAAGAATCCAGAAGGTATAAATTTTCTTGTTTATTGAAACCACAATTAAATTATGAATATTAGTCCACTTTTTAGAGTAGCCCCCAAATATTCTGTATTTTGGGCATGTTTTTCAACTGGATTACTTGTAATTTGGTATCTTAGGTTCTGTCGGATAACATTTTTTTTTTCAAAATTTGTGCTTTTTTTAGGAACCCCATCCCTGATATGTAAGAATTCTTCCCAAATTTCGGTATTGTGAGTAAATTTTTCAACCAACTAGCCTCTAATTTGGTATATTAGATCCTTACTCGGTACAAAAAAAAAACTGTTAATATTGATTATGCTGTTTATGTTAGCCCCCATATTACGCTACCCACAAATATTCGGTATATTAGTCTATAGTTTAGTGTATACCTTCAGATTTTCGGTATTTTAGCCAAATTTTCCAACCTAAGTTGGTATTCCAATTGTTGTTAGGTATTTCGATTTCTCCTATCAGCAGTTTATCATGCCATAGTCCCCATTTAAAAGGCCCAATAGAGTTTACGTATTTTAAATATCCACCCCATTGTGTAGGGTAAATTTATCTGAATTCTGCTTAATGTAACTGAATTATAATTTTTGAAAAAATCTAAAAAAAAAAATAGATTTTATTCAGAAAAGTCGGAATTAATTCGTAACAGAATATTTATATTTTTCATAATCAATTTCGTCTGATAATCGTTAATCTTTTGACGAACTCTTTTCCCCAATCTTTTCATATTTCTTTTTTATTAATTGTAACAGATTTTTTATTTTTAATTTAAAAACTAACATATTTATTTCCTCATTTCAGATATGCCAATGTCCTACCACTTCCTGAAACGCGTGTCATCTTGCAGCGTCTGAACGATGATGAAAAAACGGAATATATCAATGCAAATTATGTCAGCGTAAGTATTTCTAATCTTATATTTGTCTTCCGATCCTATCAACAATTATACGAATTATACAGTTCAAACATACAAACCAACAGAGAAACAAACAAAAAACAGAGAAAGAAAATACGAAACTATTTACACAAATTTTATTATGTATTATGTACATAAGGCCAAATCGCGGATGCATGACCTCTTCAAAATATTATTACACTTCCCGAACCCGCCTTCTGTGTCATTAACTTCTTCCTCATCTACATCCCCATATCCATTATCATCAGCAGCAGCAACAGCAACAGCTCGGCTGTGATTGAAATCTAAACCACCTACGCAACACAGTGGCATCATGCACACCAGTGTCTGTGGCAGCGGCTCAGTTATGCTCACTGAATCTCTTCAAGTAATTCCCCCGTAATAATCACACAACTGGCATCATGTAATCAGCAAGCCAGCCAGCCAGCGGGTCCGTCATTCAGCCCCACCACACGCATACCATTATATCTACACTTGGCAGTTAAGTGTACTTAGATGCGACGCCAGTAAATTTAAAAACACCCCAATCGTCATCGTCGTCATCATCATCATCAGCAGCGGCAGCAGTGCCATGATGCGAATTCAAATTTTTTGTTTTGTATGTCTGTTGTTGCTGTGTACATTTGTTTCACTTTAAATTTACAGTAAATGGTAGATAAATGCAATCAACAATTTTGAATTTAAAAGAAATGAAAAATAATTTTAGATCCACCGGGTCGGAATTTTAATACTTTTCACCATCAGGTGGAGATTATAAAAATCCCTAAAATCGTTTGGGACTTTTTATACGTGAACTTAAATATAATGCTAAAATACAGCCGAGAGAAATCGAAATAGCAAATTACATACTTTCAGTTTGGAAAATTTAGGCTAGGACCTTGAACATACCGAAAATTTCCCGTATGTTGAGGCCATATTTAAAATTGTAAAAATGGACATATTTGTATTAAAAATATTCTGTGAATAATTTATTAACTCACCTAAATCCCAGAATCCTAATTACAACCACTTCATTATGCCAAAATGTAGTCACTACGGAAAGAAACTTAGCACATAGCCATAAAAATAATTAGTTTGAAAAATGTGTCTGAAATCCTCAAAATACCAGATAACATCGGATATATCCCGAAATTTACACCAATATTGATACATTTTTATAGGAAGTTTTTCTAACCAATAAGAATTTAAAATACTTATAAAACTACAGACAACTCAGATGAAAAACGAGCCTAAGCTCACTCCTCAAAATAATGAAAATCGGAACCGATATTGAAAATTTTTGCTGGGATTTTCGACTTAATGAGAACGCATTATATACATTACAGCTAATTGGGTTGGAAAACAGGCAAAAATACCAAAACAGGAATTTGAATGGAAATGGAGATATCGGAGAGGCATTTTTTGTTTCGTATAGAAAAAAATTTGAACGCATTGTTGAGGCATTTTTTGTAAAAAATCGGATGACTCCATGAAGCATATAGAAAACAAGTTCGGAGGTCCTGCAGAGGTATTTTTCGTATAGAAAAATATTCGGAGGCCTCGGAAAAACATTTTTTATATAAAAAAATTCGCAAGCCTTAGAGAGTCATTTTTTCGTATAGAAAAATATTCAGAGGTCTCAGCAAGGCATTCTTTCTTATAGAAAAAAATTCGGAGGCTTAGTAACAAAATCGGAGGAACCGGTGAAGCAGTGTTCGCGTATAGAACAAAAATCGGTTGTTTCGCAAAGATATTTTTTCGTATAGAAAAAACATTTGAAGGCCTCGGAGAGACATTTTTTCATATAGAACAAAATCGGGGTCCTCAGAGAGGTAAAAGCATTTTTTTCGTATAGAAATAAATTCGGAGGCCTCAGTTAGGCATTTTTCGTATAGAAACAATTATGGGGACCTCAGAGAGGCCTCAGCGAGGCATTTTTTTGTATAGAAAAAAATCGAAGGCTTCGAAGTTACATTGTTTCGTAAAATTCGGCATTTCTTCGTATAGAAAAAACATTTTGAGATCTCAGAGAAGCCTCAGTGAGGCAGTTTTTATAGAAAAAAAAAACCCGGAGTCTTCGAAGAGACATTTTTTCGAACAGAAATTAATTTGGAGGCCTCGGATAAAAGAATCGGTGGACTCAGTGAGGCATTTTTTTCGTAAAGAAAAAAATGGGAGACCTCGTAGTGTCATTTTTTCGTATAGAAAATAGTTTAGAGACCTCGTAGAGGCGTCATTGAGGCATTTTTTCGTATAAAAAAAAAATCCGGAGGCTTCGGAGAGACATTTTTTGGTATAGAAAAAAAATAGGAGGCATCAGATAGGTATTTTTGTATAGAAAAAAATTCGTTGGACTCAGTGAGGCATTTTTTGTAAAGAAAAAATTCGGAAGCCTAATAGAGGCATTTTTTGTATAGAGAACAGTTTACAGACCTCAGAGAGGCCTGTAAACTGAGAAATTTTTTTTGTACAGAAAAAAATTTGGAGGCCTATCCGTTAAAAAATAAATCTGTGCACTCTGTGAGGCATTTTTTGTAAGGAAAAAATCGTAGACCTAGAGAAGCCATTTTTTCGTAAGAAACAGTTTGGAAACCTCGGAGAGGCCTCAGGCTTCGGAGAGATTTTTTTTGTACAGAAAAAAATTTGGAGGCCTATCCGTATAAAAAATAAATCTGTGGACTCTGTGAGGCATTTTTGTAAAGAATAAAATCGGAGGCCTAGAGGAGGCATTTCTTTCGTATAGAAAAAATCCGGAGACCTCGTGAGGCATTTTTTCGTATAAAAAAATCGAAGGCTTCGGAGAGACACTTTTTTTGTACAGAAACAAATGGGAGGCCTCGGATATTTTTGTATAGAAAAACAGAAAATATAAAATTCGAAGGTCTCCGTGAAGAATGCCTCGTAGAGCCAATTTGTTCTAACAAAACAATTTAGGCTTATTGGATGAATGGTCCTTAAAAAATCATTTAAAAAATCCACGCTTATTGGACGGATGGTCCTTAAAAATTATTTCAAAAATCCTTAAAAATATTATTTAAAAAAACACGCCTATTGGATGGGTGGTCAATGAAGAATTGGTCCTATAAAAATACTTAAAAAAATACACACTTATTGATCGGATGGTCATTGAAAAATATTATTTAAAATATCCACATTTACAGTCCAGTCCAGTGGTCTTTAAAAATATATGCATTAAAAATCCATGCTTTCTGTTAGTTGGTCTTTGAAAATATAATTTAAAAAAATCCACACTTAAAGTTCGGATGGCACTTAAAAAATATAAAATAAAAAAATCTACGCTTAATGGTCGGAGGGTCCTAGAAAAAAAATAATTTAAAAAATCCACGCTTGTAGGTCGAATGGTCGATGAGAAATAAAATTTAAAAATTTCACTTTTATTCATCGGGAGATAAATGGTATTTAAAAAAATCCGCGATTATAGTTCCGCTGCTCATTAAATAATATTATCAAGAAATCTACGCTTAATGGTCGGATAATCCTTGAAAATTGAATTTAAAAAATCCATTCTTATTGGTCGGTTGATCCATGGAAAATATAATTTAAAATATACTTACATTTTTCTTAAATATTCAAGCTCCTAATTACGATATCCCTTGATTTTTTTTTTCTTAAAAATAGTCATTCAGTAATACAAGTCGCATAAAGCATCCCCTTACTGTACTTCATTTGCTTCGTTTTGTTTTTTATTTCAACCTGGCTTCAGCATTTTGTAATGAAAGAAAAACAGCAACAACAACAACTAAAAGATAAAGACCCAAAACAATAGACTAGACTAAAGTAGACTGACTGATGAGTCGATTTGTAGCCGTGCAAACATCAAGGGCAAAGGGAGTCTTGAATGTGGCGAAAGCTTCAATGATTTCGAATGCGTTACTATAGCAATGATGTTGCTGATGGTGATGCCAAGACCTCTGTAATGATAACTCAGAGTGGAGGAGGGAAGTTACGGTAATTGTCTCTGTTCAAAGAGAGGGAGGAGAGGAAGCGTGATCACAGTGCATTTTTAGTTTAACAAAAAATGTTACAACCTTTAGACCAGTGCGAATGTTGGGTCGGACGATCACTACTTGACTCTCCTTAGTTTTCCACATGAAAGACAAAAAACAACAAAAACAAACGCAAAACGAATTGTAATCGTTTTTGTTTGTTGTTGGTTTTCTTGTGTGCGTATGAGTGATGATGATGAGTACGTGAGCTTTTGTTTATTTAGAAAACAATAACAACAACAAGTAAAAAATCCCATTACACCCCTACTTTCAATAACTAAAACAAAACATTATTGAGACCCGTATCACTTTGATGGAGGTCGGGGGTGCGTGGCTTCACTGTGCATTTTACAAACAAATGAAAATAGCAAAACAAGAACAACAATAAAAAAAAATAAAAACAAAAGCACAACAATGTCACGACTAATTGAAGTGGAGTGGAGTGTAGACTAGATTCTCTGAGAGAGGACATAAAGTAGATAAGAATGTTGTTGTTTAGCTAATCTCTAATACCCTCACTTGATCGAAAAAAGACAATGACATAAGAGAGGCAGAGACGGAAAATAACTTTACGCCGTTTATTATGAATAATTAAAAAAAATATTTAAATGATTCATAAGAAAAGTAAGTGAAGTAATAATAAGGCAATATACAAAATATACTGCACAGTGGGATGAAATCGAAAAAAAAATAATAAAATAAATAAATAAAAAAATAATAGAAAAAAAATTAATTAGAAATATTTAAAACCCGGTAATTTCAGTAACTTGTTGGTTGGGTGGTCCTAGGAAAATAAAATTAAACAAAAAAAAATCCGGAGACCTCGTATAGGCATATTTTCGTAAAGAAAAAAATCTAAGGCTTCAGAGATACATTTTTTTGTACAGAAAAAAATTTGGAGACCTCGGAGAGACATTCGAGGGCTCAGTGACAATTTTTTTTCTTATTGAAAAAAAAATCGGGTTCTCAGAGAGTTATTTTTTCGTATAGAAATGA